CCGGATGATGAAATTTTTGGTTAATTTCTTTTATTTCAGGTCCAAAATGAATACTACATATTTCACAGTTATTATCTCAATTTTAATAATTTTTTGATTTTTTTTTAATTTTTAAATATTTTAAAGAAAATTTTGCGCAAACATTTTTTTATTTTTTTCCAGAAAAATTAAATACTTAAAGAAATTCTTCTCTTATTTTTTTCCCAAAGAAAAAAGAAAACTTTAATGTTTTATAAAAACTAGAAATCCTCTTTACAAGAAAAAAGAGTAAAGAGTTAAAATAGAAAAGCTGGCCAAGCTTTTTTTATTTGTTCAGTCAATAAATGATTTTTAAATAAAAAAGGCAGCTTGTGGGATATAATTGGGTGGTATATTATTTGCTTTTATTTAAAAATGATTTTCTCTCTTTTTGCTCCCTTCCCTTCCCTTTTTAGAATAGAGATAGATATGTAATTAATTAAATTTAATTTTTAATGTGTATTGCCATCCACGTTTTTAAATAAATTTATTTTTAGTTTAAAAAATAATTTTTTAATTAAATTATTATCTAATATTTTAAATAATCATTTATTTATTTTCTATTTATTTTAAAAATTAATTTTTTTAAAAACCTTTTATGCCTTCTCTCTTTAAATAACCATTTTATTTAAAAAATAATAATTATATTTTAATTACATAAATTAACGCCCAATTCTTTTCTCGACCCAATTTAACATATACCTTCTTTTAATTTTAGTTTTTATATTCGGTTAAAAAAAGTTTAATAAAAAACATTTGCGCAAATATTAGTGCAATGCATTAACACATTCCTTTTCTTTTTTTAAATAGATATGTACAGTTATTTTAAATATATATTTAGGTTAATTTAAATTTATTTTTTTTTGAAGTTTTTCAAAAATCTTTTAATTAAAATAAACCATTACTATCAACAATCATCCCCCTTTATTTATTTAAACTTAAAATGCCTAAATAAATTAAAAAATTATTTTTAAAATTTTATAAAATAATATTTAGTTAATTAAATTTAAAAAAAATTAATTTCTACTAATTATTTTTCGATTTAAAAAATATTTTTGTTACTTCTTTTTCATTTCTCTTTCCAATTTTCTTATGATTTTCTTTTCTTTTCTTCAACGTTTTATAATTTTTAAGTAAAAAAATATTTATTTATTTGAGTGTAACAGGTCAATCGGAGGGCCAAATTACTTGGAACATTTATTTTTCTGTCTGCACACAAAAATATTTTTTTCTTTTTTTTCAAAAAACTTGATCGTCTTTCGATTATTTTTTGAAAAATATTTCTCTTTTCTTTTTCTTTTTAAAATAAAAACATTTTTTAGTAAATCAAAATTAAATAGACCTACCTACATCATTTTTAAAAAAATATTTTTTAATCAAATAATCCTCTTATCAAAATCAACAAAAGAATTTTGGATAATCCAAACAGACTTTTTGATATTTAAGAGTTTTTAATCAAAATTTAAATTTTCATAAAATATATTAGTACATTGTTATATTTATTTATTCAAAGTATTTTTAAGATTTCAACATCTGGTTCATTTTATTTTATTTTTTAAAAAATTAAAATTTATTTCTTGCTAATATTTTGAAAATAAACAATTTTTAAATATTTTTTTAACTAAAAAGACTAAAAAATAATTATGTAAAATATATATTTAAATAAATTCATTTTATTCCCTACAGTTTTTTTTAAATTTTTATTTCTAAAAATAAAGTTTCGGTTACATACCTAGGTTATTAAAAATATGTTTCATTAAACTACTTAAAAAAGGATATTTTTCATTATAATGAGTGATTAATTAATTAATTTTTTTAGTAATCTGAATTTAATTTTGATTTTTTAATTAATTTTTTAAATAAATCTTTACTTTTTATAACTTTCATCTCTTTTTAGTTTTTATTAAATAAATATTTTTCTAATAATAAAAAACAAAATTTATTTAAACCCCTTTTTGTTTAAAAATATTTTATTAAAAAAATAATAAAAAAATTTTTTTTTATTTTTAAACAATCTTTAACCAAAAAAAAATTTGTTTTATACAATAGTTAGTGATTTTAAATCCACATATTTATTATTACCATATTTTTTCCACATTATTTACTCAATTTAATTTATATATAAAGAAAAAATCTTTTTTTAAATTTAAATAATTTTTTTAGAAATTAATATAAAATCTCTTCAATTCTCTACACAAAAATGTTTAATAACAAATCAAGACGTTTCTCAAATGATGGGTCAACAGATTCTGGTGGAGGGGATTCTTGTTCTTCTGGTTCACTTTCCCCAATTCCTCCAAATTTAAAATTATTTTCTTCTTCTTTTTCCTCTCCAAATTCAACAAATTTATTAATTCCCCACCAAAAACAATTAAATAATCGAAGATGTTCTCCTTCAAAATTAAAATTTTCTAAAATTAATGGAAAATATTTATTGAGACGTTGGCCTTTAAATCGTTTATTTAATTCAAAATTATTTTCTTTTTTAATTACAATTATTTTATTGTTTGCTATTTGGAGAGTTTATATTTGGAATGAACAAATTAAACAAAGAACTACTGTTATTTTAATTACTCCAACATATAAGAGACATGAAAGGCTTGCGGATATGACTAGGTTAGGAGAGGGGGAGGGGGTAATTAATTGTGTTATTGTTAATCCTTTTTTAGGATCTAAAACACAATTTTATTCTTGTTTTCTATAATTTATAAAAATCTTCCTTGCCCTAAATATTCTAATTTAACTCTTAGTCAATTCCTTTCCCTTTTTAATAAAGAGTAATTTATAAATTTATTTTTTAGACTTTCCCAAACACTTATGCATATACAGAATTTACACTGGTAAATAATTTATTTTTTAATTAGAAATTATTTTTAAAAATTTTCTTTTATTTAAGGGTTGTTGTAGAAGACGCTAACCATACTTCTCCAGCTGTTGAAAAAATTTTACAACGTTCTAAAATTCCTTATACATATTTTTATACAACAACAAAACCTGGATTTCCCCTTCGTGGGTGGACACACAGAAATGTTGCTTTAGAATATGTTAGGAAAAATTATAAAAATTATAACAAAAATGCTGTTAGTTTTTTATTCTTTAATTAATTGTAATCTTCTTTTTTACTTTATATTTTTATTTGGAGAGTTAATTAGACAATAATTGAATGAGTAATAACATTTTTGGTTATTTGCCTCTATAAAGATTTGAATTTAATTTAGAAGAAAGTCCATATAAATTAAATAAAATTAGATAAAAATAAAAATATGTATATATTTAAATAAATATTCAAAGAATACCCAACAACTGTTTATAAATTTTTTAAATTTTTAGGTTGTTTATTTTGCTGATGATGATAATACTTATGACATTAGATTATTTAATAATTATATTAAAAAAGTAAAAACAATTGGAGTTTGGGCTGTAGGTAAAGAAATATTTGTGTTTATTTAAAAAAATCTTTTTTTTTTAATTTAAAGCCTTGGCTGGGACTGCAAAAGTAGAAGCCCCAAAAGTAAATAAAAATGGAACATTAATTGGTTGGGATGTTATTTACGCACCTTCAAGACGTTTTGCTGTTGATATGGCTGGATTTGCTATAAAGTAAGTTGAAAATAATTTTTAAATTATTTTTGGGGAAATTGAGAACCTTCAACTAAATTTTTTTAGTTTAAAATTAATTTTGGCTGGCAATGCAAGCTTCCACGAAGGATGCATTAGAGGGGCTCCAGAATCTTGTTTTCTTTCTCAATTTAATATTCCTCGTGAGAAAATTGAAGTTTTTGGTTGGAATGAAGAACCAAAAGAAATTCTAGTTTGGCATACAAAAACTTTAGCCACAAAACTAATTGTTAGTTTTTTTAAATTTAAATTAAAAATTAATTAAGGAGAGTAAAATGGGGAATTTTGGGAATTAATTAATGATTTTTGTTAAATTTTTGGGGACCGATTTTATTTAAATTCTAATTCTCTTTTAAAAATTATTATTTCTAGGGTACTTCTCATGGCTATTTATTTGAAAATAAATTTTAAATAAATTAGAGAATGATGACATTAGATAGAATTAATTAATTAATTAATATCAACCTAGACGGGTGTATTTTCTTTTTTTAGAATTTTAATTTCCATTTTCGCTTTTTCCATTCACTTTTTTTCTTTTTTTTCTTCACTTTTCCCGGTGTTTATTTTAAATACAAAAAATAGTCTGCAAAATTTCTTTCATTCCAAAAAATAATTTAACGAATTTTTAATTTTTATTTAATTTTAAAATTCCCGGTTTGCTTTGAATATTTATATATTTTTTATTAAAAAAATAAAAGTTTTTTTTTTAATTTTAACATAAAAATATTTTTAATTTTCTTTTAAAATAATTATTTTTATAAAAAATTAATTAATTTTTATCAATTTAAAATAATTGACATTTACTTTAATAATTAAAAATATTTTTTTGTTTTTTAAAAAATAATCATCAGATTTTATTTTCACTTATATGTATTTTCAAAATATTTTTATTAAAAATAATGTTTCTGATTTTTATTATTTTAATTATATTTTCATTTAAATGTTTTGAATTTACAAATAATAATAATTGTATTTTGAAAATAAATGATTTATTATCTGAAGGTTTTTGGATTAATTTGGGGGGGGGGGGTTAAAAAAATAATTTTTATTTAAAGATTATCTTCAATTTCGGAATGTCCAATTACAAAGTTTTGACTCACAAAAAAGACCAATTTGTGATGATAAAAATAAATTACCAACAATACATTTACCTGGGTGGTTAAAATTAATTTCTGGTAAATAAAAATTAATATTTAATTTTTAAATAATTTTAAATTTTTTAGGGGAAGTTGTTATTAATAAACTCCTTCCTTCTCTTGGAAATTTAAATAAAACATTAGAATTATCATTGACTTTAGAACAAGATAGTTTTTTTGTTGGGAAAATATGTGATAGAGGACAGAGTCAAAGTTCTTTTATTTCTGATGAATTTTGGTAATATAATTATCCAATTTTTTAAATATTTTTTAAGTTCTCCATTTTTCTGTCATTTATTACCAAATGCCTGTAAAATATTATTAAAAGCCAAAATTGACCAAATAATTCCTCTTTCTAACTTCTTTCCTTTTGATGGTTGGTTACCTTTAGAGGACCCCTTAGCCCATCCAATATTGTCTGGACTTTGGAAAGCAGAAGCTGAACTTTTATTATTTAATGAAAAAACAGAAGAGGAAGAGGAAGGGAAATTATTAGCTAAAATTGGAAATGAAGGTTGGGTATTAATTAGAGAAAGTGATGATTGGCAACAAAAAGAACATGAAGATTTATAATTTGAAATTTTACGAATATATTCAATTTTTTAAATTCTTTTTTCACGTTTTTTGATATTTAAAAATAAATTCTTTAGAAATTTAAATTCTTTATTTTTGGGAGAAATCTCATTCCCAATTTTGGATTTAAGGCTAACATTATATCACAATCAAAGTATGTATCATCATCTTAGCCATTCAAACCACACTTCTTTCATAATAAAACTGAAAGTATATTCTTTTGACTTTTCTATCAAAAATATAATGACAAACTATGAGAGGTACAAGACGATTTACTCGTACTCGTACTTCATACTTGACTTATTTTTTCCTTGTACTCGTACACAGATACGAGTACAAGTACCAACTTTACCAAACGATGTTCAAAAGTAGTAAAATAATTTATTTTCCTTTATATCAAACACAAAGAATATATTTAAATATTAATTTTGAGAGCAAAGTTCGTCTACTTTTTTCCATTTTTGGTGCACCAATTGCATTAGGCAAATTTGCGGGGAAAGAAAGTATTTCTTGGCCGAGTGACGGAGGGAATAAGGGGAGGGGGGTGTTGATTGTGTAGTAGATAGAGAGTACAAAGTTCGAAGCAAATAAAATATTTAAAAGAATATTGAGAAATATGTATGTATTATATTTATTTGATTTACTCTTTTTAATCACTAATAATTCACATGAATTTTAACATATTTATTTAATTATCTTTTTATTTATATTTAGGTCTAAAATATATAAAAATATTTGAGTTGCTTTCGCAAATATTTTATTAACTAGACTTTGTTTGTTGTCAGTTGTAAAACATTAATATTTTTTATTTTAGCTTTATAAAATATTTACAAAAATAATTTTAATTTTTTAAATTGAATTAATTAAACAATATTTTTTTGAAGTTTCCCAACAAAAATCAAATATTTATGTAGATCAATTTAATTTGCTGACCTTTAAATATATCAAAAGATTTTAATTTTCAAATAGTACCTATATAATTTAAGCAAATCTGCTGCAGTAGTATTAAGAAGAAAAAATCATAAAATTGGTAATAAAATAATAAAAATGCGAAAAACTTTATTCTTTTTATTAGAAGTTTATAAAGCTTTGATATTTTTGGTTTATTTTTAGTTGATCAATTTTGATATAAATTGTTAATTATTTAAAGTATATAAATTAATTTTTATTCATAACATTCCTAGGAATGATAAATTAATTAAAAATGATATTTATGTATATTTTGTTTTTAATTAATATTTTCACATCAATTAAAAATTAACAAATTTAATATTATACTGTGATTTAAAAAGACTGATTTTTATATAATTTCTTTAAAAAATAATTAAATATCAATATTCTTCCTTTATTTAAAATGTTTACTTTAAAATTAATAATTAAAAAACAAGTTTTGCTAAACAATTGATTCCTCGCTATAGCGAAACCTTCATTTTATTTTTTTTCATTATTAGACTCAACCGAAATTTAAAAAAATCATTTTTATGTCCTAATATTAATAAATAAATATTTAAGTACATAAATAAATAAATATTTTTTATCTTTTTTAAAACAATTTTTTGAGATAATTTTTCGTTAAAGAGAAATTATTTTCATAATATTTTTGCTTCCAAATTTTTATCAGTTATTCGGTATCTACATATTTTTAATAAAAACAAAGAAAAATAGGAAAAAGTATTTTTGAAAATATTTTTAAAAAGTTTTCCTTTTAGTAATTTATGTATAAGCGATCAGTATTTACTTTGGTAGTACTGTACTTATAAATCGACCTCCTTGCTTCCAAAATTGTAAATGTACATATTTGGACGTAGTTGATAAATTTTGATATAAATAGTTAATTATCTAAAGTAGGGTAGCAACCTGACCCACGACCGAAAAGTCTACTATATCCCCGTATAGCATGAAATTAATTTTAGGTCAAAAATATGACTTTGACTTATTAAATTGTTGATAGATGAAATTCTATTAATGCCTATTGCTTTTAACTTCTCATACCTTTTTTTTTGCAAAACTATATGTAATCCGAAAGTATATTTTTCGAACGAAAATTTTGTCCGGATTTATTAAATATTTTTAAAATTATTTGCCTAAAGATATGGAGAATTAGCTAAAAATATTTTTATTAACATATTTCCTTATTTAAATGAATTTATCGAGACTTTATTTAATAATAATAAATAATTTAAATTAAGTGCTTCCCTTCCCGAACAAATTTTTTATTACTTTTTTATCATAAAATGCCGACAAAATAATTATTATTTTGTTTACTAAAATTCTTTTTTTTTAAATTAAACTCTATTAAATTTAATATTATGTATAATTACTTTCACTCATTTACTTAAATATTTAAATAAAAATAATTAAATAAAAAAATATATTTTTAGATTTTCTTAAATTTTCCCTTTTTGTAAACAAAAAAGTCACTCATTAAAAAAACAAAAACATTTTTATTTTAAATCTCTACGCTATTTAATAAATAAATAAAAACCTGTTTTTTTCTAATTTTATTTTTAATTTATCAATCCCTCCTCTCTACTTATTTGTTAGTTTAGTTTAAAAAAATATTATTTTCTTTTAATTAATTTATGTGTAAATGGTTCCATCCTTGATAAAAACAAATTGATAAAAAATAATAATTTTTTCACAATTTTTTATAATAATAAAAAAAGACTACTATTTTTGTTTTTATTAAAAATATAATCTTTTTTTTATAAAAAATTTATTTTTGCTGAAGCAGCACTTTTAAAAGAAATTTTTTTGAATTTTTCCATGAATTGGAATTTATCATAAAAATAATTTTTTATCAGATAAAACCAAAAACAAGCAATTCTCGTTTTCTTCTTTATTATTTAAAGACATTAATATATTAATTAGGTAATTGATTAAATATTTTTTTATTAATTCTAGTTGTCAGCTGTGTATTTTTTAATTAATTAAATAAATATGGTAATAGTTTGGAAGTCGCCCCCTTTTTCCCGTTTTCCTGACCATTTTAAGCTTTTTTGTTTGATATATGATTTATTATTTGATACCAAGATCGTCTAATTTGAGGATTCTCGCTGGGAAAACTTTTTTTCCCAATGAAAGGGAATAAAACAAACGGTCACAACTTTGTTCACTCAAGTCGGTTTTCGTTGAGAAATCTCTAGTTTTTGAAAAATTTAGACATCTAAAAAATAGCCCCCCCCCTCTAAAATAAGCCCTCTAGAGATCGATCGAAAAAATAAGCGCCGGGGTTTATTTTAGAGGATTTACGGTTTCTAGATTTAATTTAAATTTATTAAAAATTACAAAAAAATTAAAAAATTATCTCTACAAAAATCGTCAAAAATCGTTTTTATCCCTTTCTCATAAATCAAATAAATTTTCTTAAATATTCTAATACATATAACACATTCGCGTTATTATTATTAATATACAATATTTAATTCATCATTTATTTATCTAATCTTTATATTCGATTATATATTTTTTTATTTTTCCCATTATATTTTTATTAATTTTAAAAATATTTAAGAGAAAGATTTTAATAAAAAAAAATAATTTTAATTTAATAAATAATATTTTTTTATTATTTAAATACTTTATTTATTAAAAATGAAAATTCGTTTCAGGGAAACTCTTAAAAAATCTAAAAAAATTTTCTAAAAAGAATTCCAGTTTAATAAAATGAAGGAATTTGAGAGGAGACGAAGTGTAAATGGAATTGGCAAAGTAGGAAGTGCCAGTTCTTTGTCGGCTGGAAGAGAAACAGAAACTATTTTAAATCCAGTTATTTTAAATAAATTTTATATTTAAAAATTAGTAATTAAGGAATGGCTTTCTGATGATTTTTGTTCTTCTGAAGAATTGGATAAATTAAGTATGTGCTTAAGTGAGGTGAGAAAAAGAGGGAGAGAATTCTTGGCTCTTGTCCAGTTTAAGCGTCCAATCGCACATTTATACTTCCAATCAACCCCTTTTTACGTCCAATCACATTTTTTAAGTACCCAGTTTTGTTTGCTAAAACCTATGGTCAGGTAATATGCGTGATAACTCTGGAGAAATAGAGCTTTCTATTTCAATAGAAGTTCAGAACCGGGTACTTAAAATTTGTAATTGGACATAGGTATAAACTTTTCATTGGACGTTGGGCGTAAGTATAAACTGGACGATAGCCGAATTTTTTAAATAAAAAATGGGAAATTTTAAAAAGGAACCAAAAAATATTTAGCTATTTTGTAATTATTTTTCCTCATAAAAAAGACAACTAAAACAAAATAACAAACATTTCTATGTACATATTGATTTCTTTTTCTAACAATTTAATTTTTTTAGTATTTTTTTAAAATTTTATTCCTTAACTCGCAAATTTAAATTAATTAAATAAGCATTATAAACCTTTAAATATACTAATTAAAGATGTAGGGGTGGAAGGGGGGGGGGGGTATTTCTTTAGTTATTATTCCCCTCTTTTAAATATTTGCTGACATATTAAGGTCAAAATATTCTTTTCTCATTTCTTCAATTCTTGGCGTCCCCGCATTTATTTTTTATATTTCCCATTCATTTTTAAAGAATATTTTTTGCAATATCCTCACAATTTTATTTTTTTTAAATGTCAAATATTAATTCCCCCGCTAGAGAAAATTTAATTAATTTATGGAATGTTTTAAATAATGTAAGCAAAAAATTATTTTTAATTCTAAGATATTTTTAAAGGCTTCTTCTTCGGAAAATAATGGGGGTAGACAAAGACAATCACTTTTAGCGGATATTGTTCAAGCTCAGTTGGTATAATTAAAATTTATATTTAAAATTAAAATTTAATATTCGTGTTTTACTTCTTCATTAAGGCCCTTTGGACTTTGGTAGATAAATAATTAATTTTAAAAATAATTAATTAATTAATTTAAAGATTATAACAATATTTTATTCGTATGCCTGGCAAAATCATCGAAAGAAATTTCTTCTTTCTGTGGTAATTTTCTTTAAAAAAATTAATTTACCTCATTGCCTCTTTCTAGTTTGTTGTACTTCCAACAGCAATGGTTGTTTGTTGTACTTTATCTTCAATGCTTACAGTTATTGTTATTTTGGGTCGATTCTTTTCTTCCCCAGTCCGTTTTCAAGACATTTTACATGTTGATGGAGGAAATGATGATAATGATGGTACAAAAAAGGATTTTTTTTTTGAAAAAAATTTTTTTTAATTTAAAATAAAGGAAGTGTAAGCACAACTGGAGGGGGAAATGGAGGAGGAGGTATTAGACGTAGAACAACTTCTGTTTCTTCTTGTCACTCTTGTGGTGGTAGTTCTATTAAGGGATTTACTTTCTCTTGTGACGAATTACCTAAACCAATGTGTCGAGTTGGTGTTTTTATTTATTAAATTATGAAATAATAAAAAAATATGCTCTATATGAAAAGAGATTTCTCGTATATAAGTCTTACGGCACAAATCAAAATATATATGAAAAATTGAATATTCTAAATAGGAATATTTAGTAAAAAACGATTGCCGACCTCTCATATAGAGTCAAAAAAATCTTGAAAATAAAAGTTTTTTAATAAAAATATTTTCAAATTAATTTCTCTTTATTTAAATTAGCAACCACCAACTTTTAATTCCTTTTTTCAGAAACATTCTGCTGAAGGTTCTTCTCTATCATTATTTGGAAGTAATGGGAATGGAAGTGGAATTGTTCGTTCAGATTCAATTGGGGGTTATAGTGCTAGACCTAGATTGACACATCAATATTCCCATTCACCTGCAGACGGCTCTGGAACTTCTGCTGTTGTTGACCGTTAGAAAATAATTAAATAATTTTTATTTTTAAATAATTTCTTTTTTGATTCTCTTTAAAATAACAAAACAAAAAAGCATCTCTATTTATATATTTAATTTTTAAATAAAAAATATTATAAATAAAAGAAATAAAATATTAGTACCTAAACGGGTTAATATTTAATTAGAAAGTCTGGCCAGAATTGTTTTTTTTCGGAATCTAGTTACCTAATTTACATAAAAGACTTCTCAATTCTTGGTCTAGACTAGTCTAATTTTTTAACTTTAAAATATTTAACAATAAAACTACTTATATATTTTTTCTCGATTTAATTCAAAATTCATTCAATATTTTTTTTATTTTCCTGGTCTATTACATTTTTATATTTGAATGTTTTTTGTAATAGGCCAAAAAATTTATCGATATTATATTTAAATTGAATTTATATTTAAATGTTTGTTTTGCAATATTTTTTAAATAAATGTATGATTTACTAAAAAAATAAATTTTTGTTTTTATTTTTATATTTAGTTTATTTCTTTAAATTAACAAAAAATATTTTTTAAAATATTTTCTTTTAACTTTTTTCTATTTCGACTGATTATTTTATTTTTAATGAGTCACGAAGATTTAAAAAACGAGAAAAGTCAAAAGGAAAAGCTTAGAAAATTTTTAAATTAAAATAAATAATTTCCTTTTTAAAATATTTTGATTCATAAAATGATTGAATAAATGAATGAACTATTTATTTAAATTTAATTAATTTTTAAATGTTAATGGCTCAAAGATTTTTTTACAAATTAATTTTATAAATTAATGAATCAAAATTAAAAATAAAAAGGAATATAATCACAAAATAAAAAAGAAAATGCAAACAAAAATATTGAGGTAAATGTTAAAGGAGAGGGAGGGGAGGAGGGAGGGGAAGGAGGATGGAGGTATTGTCGTGGATTATTCACCTCCTCATCCTTTCATTCTCGTCGAGAACCCTAAAAAAGGCTTTATTTTTGCTTCAATAAAAACACTTTTCTCTTTTCATTCAATAAATAAATAAAAACCTTTTTTAAAAAATAATTATTTTTAATTAAATATTTTATTTATTTATGTCACGGCGGGAATTTGTTAGAACGCAGGAATGGCGGTATAGAGCTTTTAGAGAACAAAAATGGACATCGACAACGTCTCCACAATTTTATCGGCCTATTGCACCACCAATGGTTTATCCTTTGGAAAATAATAGATAGTTAAGTTTTCTTTAAAAATAAATTGAGGAAGGGAAGGAGGAGGTGGAGGAATTATGGAAGGATTTTTTTTTCAATTTAATTCTAATTTTGTATAACTATTTATATATTTAGTGAACGAATATTAGAGGAACAAAATTATGAAGAATGGGAAAAGCGTAATAACAGTAATAATAGCCGATTAAATTCAGCAATGCTTTGTCGAAGTTATGAAGGAAAAAGGAAATTAGTAATAACTTTAAGGTATAAGGAAAAATATTTTTTAAATAAAATTTAAATTTATAGAGAATTACCAATAGAACAATATACTCATTCAATTGAAAATACTAAATATTCTTTACCTTCAAATCAACGTCAACACAAAATTCGACAACAATTTCGACCTTCAAAACAAAGAGAAGAAGAATATCCTCTTCCTCTTCCAAAACAAAATATTTTATATGAATATACAGATACACAAAAAATTGGTAGAAGAGGAAGTAATAGTAATAGTTCATCTACAAATTCTTCTTTACGTAGTGTTGTATGTGGAAATTAAAAATTAATAATTTTTAAATTTTACGTTAAAGAATATTTTTTGTTAATATATTTTTGTTGGGGGCACAATATTTAATTTTAAAATAATTTTTTAAGCAAAAATATCCTCAACAACAGAAGAAACAAATATATCAACAACATCAAAAACATCCAATATTTGTTGAAAGCAAAAATCAAATAATAAAAGAAGATAAAGAAGAAAAAATTAAAAATAAAGAAATTAAAGAAAAGCAACCCCAACAACAATTACCTTTATTCGAAGAAAAAGAAGAGGAAGAAGAAAAGAATAAAATAAATACTAAAACAATAACAGAACCAGAACAAGAAGTAATTAATGAACAAAATGGTTTTAGAATTCGTGTAGAAGCTAAAGATTTTAATGACAGCGATTTTAGAGTTTTTCTTAATTAAAAAATAATTTTTAATTAAAATTAAATAAAGGTTTATATAGACAGTTATAGAGTTTTGGCTTTGGATGGAGAGCATGTTGAGGATAATAAAAATGGGACAGTTACTGTTAAAAAATTAAATAGACGTTGGAAGTTGGCTGAAGATGTGGATTTACATTCTGTACGTGCTTATTTAGCTGCTGATGGAAATGTGGAAATTTCTGTAAAAAATAATAATTATTTTTCTATTTAAAAGAAATTCTTTTAGGGGGATAAATTATTAAATAATAAAGAAAAACATCAACAAAATATTATTGAAGAAGAAGAGGAGGAAGAAAGGGAAGAATTTGGTGAAGAAGAGGAAGAAGAAAAAGATAATCAACAATATATGGAAATTAAAAAGAAAAATAATAGTAATAATTATCAAATTGAAGATTCTGGAAGAAAGGAGGAAGAGGAAGAAGAGGAAAGAATTGTACATCAACAACAACATTTATTTAATAAAGAAGAATGGAAAACAAATAATGGAAATGAAATTTATTTTAAATAGAAGAAAAACTGCCTTTTTCAGAAAACAAACTGCCCTTTTTTCTTAAATTAATTTTTCTATCTCTGCCATAATAATATTGTTAATATAAAAATTAAGTAGTTAACAGAGGTGGGTCAGAATTCCAATTTCCAACTTCCGAGTTCCGACTTTTGAGCCAGTTCCGATTTCCGGCTCTTCCGATTTTCGACACATCTGACTGTTCCGACGCACCTCTGGTAGTTAATTAAAAAATTATTTAATAAAATTCGAAGCTTCTAGTCTGTCTAATTTTTAATTAAATTGTTGAAATATTTAAATAAATAAATTTATTGTTATTTTTGATTAATTTTAATTTTTATTAGAAATAGTGTATAGATATATTAACCTATTTTTTATTTTTTTAGTTAAAAATAAAAAAAAGAAAATATTTTTAATTTTTTATATATCTAAATAATCCTATAGTTAAAGATTTTGCATTACATAGGTATTTAAAGGGAAGAGGGAATCACACAGCTGCTAAATCATTGTAGATTTATTTATATCAAAAAATACTTTTTTAATTGTAAAATTCTTTTATTTAATTTTGAGATTTTAAAGTTTTAATTAAATAATTAAAGATTTTTTTAGATTTTATAAAATTTTTATTCTCTTAAATTTAATTTTTAACTCTTTTAATTTTTTTTACTTTTTGTCTCCAAATCTCCAAAATATTCTTTTATTTCCTTTAAGTATCTAGAAGTATATTTAGTAATTTATCCAAAGATCGATTGTTTAGCTTTGCCACTAATCATTTTCTTTTTTGATGTGCAAATGTTACTCTTCCACTATTAAAGCAAAAATCCTTCCAGAATTCGATTTCTTTTGATGGCCAAATTTCTTTTAAAAGTCTGCAGGCTGTTTAATATTTATAGTATATATTTTGTGAATCATTTATTTCTTCTCTCCTCTCGACTACAAATATATATCCTCTGGCTATTTTGTTTTAATCTTTTTAATATTTTTGTTTTTAAAACTAATTTTTAATTAAAACAATTATTCCATTAATTTTTCCAAAAAATTTTTAAAGGAATTTAAATAAGGAAATAGAGAAAAATTCGGAAAAATGAAGAAAGAGTTTAAATTCAAAGTTTAAATTTTGGCAAGAAACTGTTTATGTCCTTCCAAAATAATTTTCGTCATTCTTTAAGAAAGTTTAAATTAAATTGTAAATCAGTATTATGTATGTATCATAGAATGCCGAAAAATTGATAAGGAAATTTTTATTTTAAAAATCAAAAGATTCATAGAGAATTATTCAATATTTTAATCTAATAGTATTTTTAGTTTTATTTAAAAAAAATTTTATACATTAAAAAGAATGTCTGAAACAATTAATTAAATATAAAATGCAAATGAAAAGTATTGGAATAACAACAAAAATATTCCAAATAAAAAACAAAAATAATTTAAAGAAAATTAGGAAAAGAAAAAAATATTTTAATAATAATATTTTAAATAAAACAACAAAAAATTATTTAATTTTTATTTTTTTCACAATTATTTTAATTGAAAAGATAAATGAAGTAGAATTATTTACAGCATGTCAAGGTTGTTCTCCTCCTTGTATATGCCCTGGACAAAAGGGGGAACAGGTAGAGAAAAGGACTTTAATGAATAAATTAATAAAATATGAAAAAAATACTTATAAATTATTATTAGGGCCTTCCTGGTTTCCCAGGCAAACAAGGCTTTCATGGAGCACATGGCATTGATGGACCAGAAGGACCTAATGGAGTGGAGGGAATGCAAGGATCTGAAGGAGATTTTGGCGACGTTGGCCCTAAAGGCTTACGTGGTGATAGAGGACTGCCTGGGGCGCATGGTCGTGAAGGAATGCCTGGATTAGACGGATTACCTGGTCTGCCTGGAGAAATGGGGCCACCTGGCTGTAATGGAACAGATGTAAATTGTTAAAGAATATTCCAATTATTCTCTCTTCAGGGAAAACATGGAATTCCAGGAATGACAGGAGTTGCAGGATATCGAGGCCCTCCTGGTGAACCCGGTCGTTATGGATATCCAGGGCCTCCTGGAGAAGGAGGAATAAATTCTGAAGGAGTAAAAGGAGCACGTGGAGAACCTGGAATACCTGGAACACCCGGTAAGCGATATAATAAGATTTATTTTACATACATTTATTATCCCCAGGAGTTGATTTAAAATTGAGATCCGACTGTATATGTGAGGCAGATCTTAATTGAGATCTGACTGTATATACGAGTCAGATCTCAATTTTACTGAGATCCGAAAATTCGATCTCAAATTTTTTTATTTAAAAATAATTCAAAGGATATCCTGGCAAAGAAGGAGTTCCTGGATTGAAAGGCTATCGTGGTGATTTGGGTCCATATGGACCGCCTGGTTTTCAAGGTCCACCGGGAGAGAAAGGTAGAATGGGAATACGAACACCTGGACTTAAAGGAGAAAAGGGCAAACAAGGATTGCCAGGCAAGTTTATATAGTTTAATAAATATTGCATTTCTATACCATTTTTCAGGTCCACCTGGGCCCCCAGGATTTTTGGCAAGCTCTTTAACAAGTCCCGAGGAAAGTGAAATAGTGCAAGGACCTGCTGGTCAACCAGGAGAGAAGGGGGAGAAAGGTCGAGTTGGTCCAGTTGGCCCGCCAGGAATGCGCGGTTTTGATGGCCTTCCTGGTTATCCGGGCCTTAAAGGCCAAAAAGGTGACTTTGGTGATGCAGGAAATAGAGTAAGTAAAAAATTGGTAGATATGGATTTAAAATAAATATTAATTAAAGGGTAAAAAAGGCAAAGATGGAGATTTTGGCTCAATGGGCATAAAAGGAGAGAAAGGCACAGCAGGATTGGCAGGGTAGTTGTAATAATATTCTTGGAATAAATTAAATATTCAAGAATGCCTGGATATCCTGGGGAGAAAGGAAGTGCAGGTGATCTTGGTTATCCCGGAAGACATGGCCCGGAAGGAGATGCTGGCCCACCAGGGCCTTTCGGCGTTGGACATGGGGCGCCAGGACCACGTGGAGTTCAAGGCGCTGACGGCATACCAGGAGAAAAAGGCCCACCAGGTTGACTAAACAATTTAATAAATACCTGATTAATTATTTTAAGGAAATAATGGTTTAATGGGTGCAGTCGGATCAAGAGGTCCTGTGGGGGAGCCTGGAACGCCGGGCACGCCCGGTTTGCCCGGACAAATTGGATTTAGTGAGAAGGGTGAGCGAGGTGTTGACGGTTTTGCTGGCTATTTTGGTGAACCGGGAAGACCTGGAGAGCCTGGTCCAGTTGGAAAACCTGGCGAACAAGGACTGCCTGGCTATGATATTCAAGGGCCGCCAGGTATTAAAATAAATTTCAAGTAATTAATCTTAGGTTATATTCAGTTTTTTCCTAAATTGATTTTAAGGTTGAAATACTGTATGTACTCTATTAATTACTCAAATAATTCACCGCGCCTCTATTAATTACTCCCTCCAGCGCTAGGTTGAAACAATAATTACCTCAAATAATTACCCTTTCTAATAATTACCCCTCATTTGTTTTTACGCTAATTTAAAAAATATTTATTAAAAAATCATTACCAATTTTAATAACGGAACATTTTAAAGATCAATAAAAAAATAAATCGAGAAATAAAAGGATTTGGGTGCCTCAAATAATTAACCCGTCTCTATTAATTGCCCCTTCCAGTGAGAGGTTTAACAATTACCCAAAGTAATTAATCGAATATATACGGTATCCCAAATTATCTGAAGTTCACGCAGATGTTGAAAAATTTATGAAACACTACAAAATCTGCAAGATTTTCCACCCAATTGAATTACCTATTATGAGCAATTTTAGTAACTCAAAATTTTTTCAATTTTTGTAATTGTATTTGCAACTTTTTGTAAAAAAATTTTTTGCCATTCCAAAGAATTTTAGAAACGATATGGGTCTTATTGGACCGTGAAAAATAAATTTTATTTTTGGAAAAATCTGAGTTAAATTCAAAAAATATTTTTTCTTTTTATTTAGAAAGTAACTTTATTTCGACTTTATTTTAGGCTCTGATGGTTTGCCAGGCTTAGATGGACTGCCCGGTTTTCCTGGAGATGTTGGTTCTACTGGCCCAACTGGCCCGAAAGGATTTCCAGGAACTGGAGTGAACAAAGTCGGCCCTATCGGTCAACCTGGAATGCCTGGTTCACCTGGCGATAATGGACGAATTGGACTTGCTGGCAAACCTGGTCCACCTGGATTGCCAGGATTTCGTGGCGATGATTGTGGATTTTGTCAGGATGGAATACCTGGCGAAAAGGGAGATCAAGGCGATCGTGGGCAGGATGGTTGGCGAGGGCAGCCGGGTCCTAATGGAGTTATTGGACAACAAGGACCAAAAGGAGCGCCTGGAAAATCAGGATTGCCTGGCCCAATGGGTTTACCTGTAATCTTATTAAACTTTTATAATCCAAATTTCAGTAAAAGGGAACCCCAAAACTACGAAAAATAACCTTAGGAATAAAAATATTTGTTAAGCAAAATATTTTATTTAAAATTATTTTTAAATGGCCTAAAATAATATAATCATTTTTTGTCAGTAAAAGGTCAAAAATTAAACAAAAAGGAAGGTGGGCACCTGATCTTGAGGTGTTATTAAGCAATCCTAATTATGATAACTATATGTGGTATTAATTTATTGTTTAATAGGGCTCTGAAGGTCTACCTGGACTTCCTGGATATCCCGGACTAAAAGGCGAAGCTGGTGATGTTATTGGCCCTCTTGAGAATCCTCCAGGTGTACCAGGAGAGAAAGGAGAGCGTGGAATGTCGGGTCTGCCTGGACTTGTTGGTCTTCCTGGCAAAGATGGATGGCCGGGGCAGCCTGGAGCGATGGGAGTCATTGGTCCAGCTGGTGAGAAAGGTGTTGCCGGCATACCTGGAAAACGAGGCCGTGATGGACTGTTAGGATTGCCCGGTCCACCTGGACCACCAGGAGATTCATTTCCAGGCCCACCAGGTGCACAAGGATTTCAAGGAATGCAAGGTGATGCTGGCCTGCCAGGATTGCCTGGACTACAAGGTGATTAATTCTTTATCTTAATAAAATTTTAATTCAATTTTAAGGCAGCCCAGGGGAGATGCCACCGATCATTGAAGAACTATTTGACATGTCAGAAAAACATGGACGTCAAGGTCTTTCTGGAATTCCTGGTGAGAAAGGCGAACGTGGTTTTCCCGGTCAGCCAGGCATGCAAGGTCGTCCAGGTGCTAAAGGAATCCCTGGAATGCTTGGAGAAAGAGGATTGGAGGGAATTCCTGGAAAGAATGGACGTGCGGGACCTCCAGGACCTCGAGGGTTGCCTGGACGTCAAGGATCGCCTGGATTGGAAGGAATAAAAGGAGGAATTGGAACAGATGGGCCTGATGGTCAGCCTGGCATGCAAGGTTTTTATTCTTTCTAATAGTTTTGAATCTGCGCTATAATTTAATTTAGGCGCCACAGGCGAACCCGGATATGGATTGACAGGATTGGCGGGCTACCCAGGAAGAAAAGGCGAATCTGGCCTACCAGGTCCTGATGGTCGGCCAGGGCCCCAGGGATTAGAAGGAAGACGAGGAGAACCGGGTCGTGAAGGAATTATTGGAATGCCTGGGGAAAAAGGAGAGAAGGGTTAGTCGAAGTTTATAATTTTTCAATTCAAGAAAAATTTAAAACAGGGCTTGCCGGTATACCTGGCAAAGACGGTCGTCGCGGTGCTCCAGGAGTACCAGGATTAGATGGTCAAAAAGGAGCAGCAGGCCAGCCTGGAATCCCGGGTCGTTTTGGAGAAAAAGGAGAAATTGGAGATGCTGGATTGCCTGGAATTCCTGTTAGTTGCAAATAAGTATTAGATAATAAATAATTATACTAGCTAAATATAAATAAATATTATCGAATATTAAATAAACATTGAATATAATTATGTATTCTATTAAGGGCAAAGCTGGCTTCCCTGGTAAACCGGGCCAGGATGGTGAAGATGGATCTATTGGCTTTCCTGGTCTAAATGGAGAACGTGGCGAACTTGGAATGCCAGGAATTGATGGTCCAATGGGTCTTCAAGGCCTTCCAGGAAGAGATGGATTTCTAGGACCAGAAGGGTTGACTGGTGAAGATGGTAATACAAGGAAAATAAAAACAAAAGTATTCAACATTTATAGGATATCCTGGACTTCCTGGAAAAGATGGCATCCCCGGCATGCCTGGTAATCGTGGAGATGCAGGATTACCTGGAGTTGCTGGATTAAGAGGTGGTGATGGTTTGCCTGGACAATCTGGATTGAAGGGAGATGATGGAGTGCCTGGACTTGATGGAATGATTGGTCCTATGGGTGAAAGAGGATTAATAGGACTAAAAGGAGGGCCGGGTGTGCCTGGAGCGAGCTCTCCTGTAAATATTTCGCTATTTTTATTTATATGCTAATATTTTTTTCAGGGCCTTCCAGGGCCCAAAGGCCAACCTGGCGAATACGGCTTCGAAGGGATTCCTGGTCAACCTGGTTTGCCTGGTCTTCCTGGTCTCACTGGTTTGCCTGGAATAAAAGGCGAAATAGGATTGTCTGGATTGGTGGGAAAATCTGGATTGGATGGCTTGCCAGGAGTCCCTGGACCTAAAGGAGATATGGGAGATGCTGGGTTACGTGGACTCGATGGAATAAATGGAATTGATGTACACTTTTTATAAATAATAATTATACAAATATTTTATATAATCCGGCAAATTTTCACTCCTTTCGTTCTCAAAAGTTTTATTGCATTCCGCTAGACGGTTACCGCAAGAACAATTCCACAGTGGAAAGTTAAGTACATTTAAGTTTGGTTTAAGCTTTCCTGCAGATTGAAATATTAATTTGTCGAGGGTTCGAACACCTTCGGCATCAAATAATTTTTAAGAGACCTTTATGCCTTTAAAAGACCTTTCCCTTTAAAAATTCAAATTTTTCATCTTACAAGTTTAAATTAACAAGATTATTATTTATACATATCTTTCTATGTAAAGCCTGCATGGTTATGTTTATGATTAGTGTTATCAGTTAGGACTGAACTAATAACGACAAATTAGAATTCCAACTTGTCTCTTAAACTGTGGAATTATTCTTTGTCCGAACTGTGTTAGAACCCAAAATAACTGTTGAATTTAAAAGAAATTATAACAAAAAATGACCTGATATTTATTTAAAATATTCTAAATATTTTGTTATTTTAATTAAGGGATTACCTGGTATTAAAGGCGAAAAAGGTCCGCGTGGTGATGTTGGAATACCTGGACTTCAAGGAATTCCTGGATCTCAAGGACTTGCAGGCCTACCTGGAGAAGCTGGATATCCAGGATTAAATGGACCGCCAGGACCTATAGGAATGCCTGTCTGTTTATTTTATTTTTTTAAATTACTTTAAAAAATTATTTAGATAAATGTTTAGCTTGTTGTCCTCACGTCCTCAAAAGGCATTCTGCAAAACTATTTTCCTTCTCTCCCTTATTTTCTCTCAGGTTATCAAATGATTGTTTGAAATTTTGGACCAAAGAAAAATATTTAAGGATATGTCATTTTTAGAATTAAAAAAATAAACACAAATTAATAATTTCTATACTAAAAGAAACATATGAAAGAATTTTTTTCAAAATATCGCAAAATATTTAAAAATATTTCTCAAGAATTTTTCAAAAGAGTGAAAATTTTCCTAATTAATTAAAAAAAATATAATCCATGAAAGATTTTCATTTTTGAGACCTCCAATGCCAAAGTCTGAAATTTTTGATAAATTTTATGAAAAACTACAGAGTTAAAATAATATCGAAAAGTCCAAAATAGCTTGGAATAAAGCCTGGAATCTTGAAAATTTTTACTGTATTAGGAGATTGCAAAAAGTTTATTTACCAAAAATTCGGGCTTATGTTTTTTCTGATTCGTAATTAACCCTACTAGTGATTTCATTTAATTAATTCTGAAGTTAAATTATAATACATATTTAAAATACATACAATAGATTTTTAAATCCAAAATCTATACAGTCTCTGCCTAATCAGAAATACAGGGCCCATTCCCTCTGTTGCGCCAAAATGTCAACCAATCATTTGATAATCTGAGGGAAATTAAGTGAGAGAGGACAATGAGTTGAATCCAGCTTAAGTGATTTTTGCAGAATACTTTTATTTAGCGGACGTGGGACGTCACTGGACATTTAGCATTTATTTATAATAATTACATATACAAAAGTACCTATATTAATGTTTGTAAAAAAAGTGTCTGTATACATAATTATAACAATATAATAAACTATGTAATAACCAAACATTTGTTAGTAGCTCTAATTATTTAAGGTTAATTTCAATTCCGTATTCCTAATTTATAGGGAGATGCCGGCTCTATTGGTATTCCTGGTCCACCCGGCGACGTTGGTCTAGATGGTTTACCTGGAATTAAAGGAATGTGTGGCGAGGCTGGCGTGCCAGGCTTTCCAGGATTAGCTGGAAAGGATGGGCTGCCTGGTCCTGAAGGCCCTCCAGGTGATACTGGCCTTCCTGGCTTGGACGGAAGTGGAATGATTGGAATAATTGGAGAAAGGGGAGATGATGGTGTTCCTGGCCATGATGGATCTCCTGGTCAAGTTGGGCCACGTGGCATGCCTGGTGAAGTTGGATATCCTGGGGCTCCTGGATTTCAAGGAGAGAGAGGCGAACCTGGACTTGATGGAGTATTGGGAGAACATGGACTTCGTGGTATTGATGGAAAACCTGGTAATTAGTTTGTAATGTGTATATTTCGTTTTTTTGTAAATTATGTATTTAATAGTAAATATGTATGTATCATTATTTTTAAATTAATTTTAGGTCGTAGAGGCCAAGATGGATTGCCTGGTCTAACTGGTCCACAAGGTTCTCCAGGACCTAAAGGCCAGCCAAATTTGGATGGACAAACTGGCTTTCCAGGGGGACCTGGTGGTCCTGGATTTCCTGGACTAAGAGTTAAAAATCCAAAATCTTAATTTAAATAAAATTAATTTAAAGGGAGATATAGGCCCTGATGGCATTCGCGGATTCCCAGGAGATAAAGGCCCTGATGGCTTACCTGGTATTGATGGAATTAAAGGCGAAAGAGGAATGCAGGGTCTTCAAGGACTACAAGGTCCTAGAGGTTTGCCTGGCGATCAAGGGTTTCCTGGCTTGCCTGGAATTCAAGCACCATTTAGCCTGGTTTTCTTAATAAAAATTTTTTTTATTTTTAACCAAAAACAGGAAGAACATTCACCACGTGGTTTACGCGGAGAATATGGTCATCCTGGTATTCCAGGCCTAAGAGGCCAGCAAGGCATTACTGGTCTTCCTGGTCCACCAGGACCAGCTGGCTATCCAGGCAGAAAAGGAGAAGTTGGAGAACATGGACCTCCAGGTTATCTGGGACCAAAAGGAGAAGCTGGAATAAATGGCATACCTGGAGTTGTTGGACGCGAAGGCCGGCCTGGGGCACCTGGACCTGCAGGATTTCACGGGCCACCTGGGTAAATGAAATATTTAATTATTTGAATATTTAGTTCAAAATAATGCATAAATTAATTTTAAGCGGGTTGGCTCCCTCTCGTGGCTTTACAATAACCAGACATTCTCAAAGCACACAAGTTCCATCATGTCCAGACGGAATGCAACAACTTTGGAGTGGTTATTCACTTTTGTATGTTCAAGGGAATGGAAGGGCTGCTGGTCAAGATTTGGGTACACCAGGTGAGTATAATTATAAAATTTCTTTGTTTAAACTGAAAAATTCTTAAGGCTCGTGTTTACCCAAATTTTCAACAATGCCATTTGTATTCTGCAATTTAAAGGAAATTTGCCATTTTAGCAGCCGTAATGATTATTCATTTTGGTTGGGAACTGGAAAACCAATGAATCAAATGATGACACCTGTCAATTTATTTTATTTATTGAAAAATTTTTTAATTTTTAAGATGACAGGTGAAGCGTTAAGAGAACATGTTTCTCGTTGTTCAGTTTGTGAAAGTCCTACACAGTCAATGGCTGTTCATTCGCAAGATAATTACGTGCCTGAATGCCCATCTGGATGGCAACCTTTATGGAAAGGCTATAGCTTTGCTATGGTTGTTTTTTAAATATTCTGTTTTATAAATTTAAATATGTTAGTATATCTCTTTTGCTTGGAGTCCGGCTTTATTTGAATTTTTTAAATTTTTAATCGAAAAACACTGCTGACGATTCCGGTCATTTTTATTAAAGAAAATTGATAATTTTGATTAGAAAACCAAAAATTATCTTATAGCCTCTATTATTTAATAGTTAACACCTTTCTTTTTTAATTATTCCAGTATGTCTACAAAACTTAACTCGGCTAATTTACTAAATAAATTTAAAGCACACCGCCGCCGGGGCTGAAGGAACTGGTCAGAATTTTGAATCTCCTGGAAGTTGTCTAGAAGAATTTTATTCTGTTCCTTTCATTGAATGTCATGGAAAGGGCACTTGCAATTACTATGCTACAAATCATGGCTTTTGGTTGGCAGTTGTTGGACAAGTAATTTTGAAAAAAAAATTTAAAAAAACATTTTTTTCATAATTTTTAGCAAAATCAATTCCGAAAGCCAATGCCTCAAACATTAAAAGCTGGTGGACTTAAAGATAGAATTTCGAGGTGCCAAGTCTGTCAAAAAAGCAGACAAATTTGGCAATAGAATTTTAAAGAAAATTGAAATCATGCGAACCTTCCCTCCAATAAATAGCTATTTGTTTTTACAAATTTATTTTTTTACATTTTTTAATTTAAATAAGCAGATTGGGGTTGGAATGCTCGCACAGATGTTTTAATAATGTGATGATATTTGTTATTAATTTAAGAATATTTGCTTTGTACTCTTATTTAAAATTATATGTTTCTAAGTTTTTTAAATATTTCTTTAATTATATGTAACAGAAAATTTAAATGATCTTTTTTACTTTTAATTGACCTATCAGAATTGAATACATTGTTGTGCATAAATTTATGCAAACTTGATAATATTTTTTTACAATTAAGTATAACTTGGGAAGCCTTTAACTTATAAGTCTAATTTTTTGGGATGATAGATTAATGAATAATTAATGAATAATCTTTCTAATGAATACAAATTTTTATCAACAGCTTTATCATCTTTTTGACCACTGCCTGTATATCAATAAATTTGTTTGACCCAATAAATTAAAATGAATTCAAGATTTTTTATAAATAGGTTATGTGTGAAAGCACTGAAATCCATATTTTTCTGAATTGGTAAGGAGATAAACGTTATTTATTTTAATTTTTTGTATTTCAATACTTCATCCATTTTTTAAATATTTTATTCAAAATAAACGATTTTTCTTATTTTTGGTAGAATTTTCTGATTTTTTCGAAATTCATAAATTTTGTCCACATTTTTAACCATATTTATTTTGTTTTTTAAATTCCATTTCATTCGAAATTTTATATATTTTCGAAATTATCACATAAATTTCATAATTCAATTATGTAAACCGAATGTTATAAATATAAATCCAATTCCCAACAGTTATCTAATTGTATTCGAGAAAATTGTGAATTTATTTAGGGTTTTCGACAGTATAACTACTCTAAGAATAAATTTAATAAATTTTAGACCACTACTATTCAAAACAAAAGCAAATACAAAAAACTTAGGAAGTCTGAGAACTAATGAATTCTTGTATCGAAAAAAATAAACCACATAAATCAAATAATATTTATTTACATTCAACAAAACAATTATACAGAAAATGAATCTACAGGAAATACAAATTTGGAACAATACAAAGGAAAACATTAGGGAAAATATGACAACAATGTGGGAATATCACTATCCTATGAGTTTTTACAGCTTGGTCCATATTATTCGTCGAACTTCTGTCCTGGCTTCGGTTTGCGGCAGAGCACGAGGAACTTATGCACAGCGGGCCCTTCGAATCGCTCGTCCTTGCCTGCGACCACGGCCGATGCACGCTCATTGCGAATGTCAGCCTTGCCAAGTGCCTCCTTGCCATTTGGAAGAGTTAGCAGGCATGGCGAGATGTTTCCTGAAATTGATTCAAAATTTATTTTTAGATTATCAAACGTAGATGATAAAACACACCTTTCACTTGATCGACGTGAACAGGATAGAAGACTCGGGCGTTCTTGTCAAAGACAGCTGCATCACTCCATGGGCGCCAATGATAGTCGTAGCCACGGACACGTTCTGGGAGGTCGACCAGAACCTGAATGGAGCCGATGTTGTCGACGAAGGCCTTCCCATTCCAGCCGAATGCTGCAGCGACCTGTGAAAAAAGTTAACCAGTTACACGCTAAAATGTAATATGGTGCTGTCACCTTGCCATTGTTGTTCCAGATCCGTCCCATTACCGGCTCACCATGCACATACCACAGGGCTACATGCTGCTCACTAGAGTCTCCAGGTGCCGCATTCAACGTCTTGTCGCCTGCTCTGATCGTCTTGTAGGTTGGCCAAGCGTCTCCCATCCTGATGTCTGCCCACTCATTCAGCATTATGAGTGGTGGTGGCACTGGCGGCGGAGGAGCTTTGAAGCAGATGTTGCACACGCAGCCCAACGGCCCTCCCTTCAGATTCCTGTGAAATTAAAATTTAAGGAAGTCACAAGTCAGAATTTTAAATAGATCAAGGGCTCACCTCATTATGATCTTCATTTCCGAGAGCGGCTTCCCTACAATGCATTCTGCCTTCCCTCCCTGTGAGAAGAAGGCTTCCTCCGTCTTCATGTTCAAGTAGCCGAGCAGTGTACCACCAGTCCGTCCCTCCCAGAGAATCGGCATCGAGTCGCAACATCGAACAAGCTGTCGTTCGTCGGTTTTCTCGAAGCGGTCCTTGTATTTGATCCACTCGTACCAGTAGCCGAGCGTGTTGTGGTCACCCTTGTACTGTAGCACCTTTAAAATTTAATATTACGTATTTTTGTGTAAAAAAAATTTTAAAGATTAACTCACTTGAATCATGCCGCCCAGATCTTCCTTTCCAGTGAGCTCCGCCTTGCCATACGGGAACGAAGCCTGTACAACGCCACCATCGTTCCATGCGTAGCCGTGCACTGGCTTTCCGTTCTTGTACCAAAGCGCGACGTACATGTTCTGCTGGCCCAGCACCTTGACAGGATTTTCCGGAAATGGTGAACCGATCGGATTGAACGCCCAAGTGTCCTCCTTCGGGGCTGGATTCGGCATTGCGTTGACGTGAAGATTGACGAGGAGTTGCTGTTGATGGTGAGGAAGACGAGTTGATGTTGACGGTGACGAGTCTGAAAAACGAGCTGCTTTTATAGTAAAATTGAGTGGCTGCTTATTTCGGTATAATTTCGGTATAACCTCTGAATTTTACTATAAAAGCAGCTCGTTTTTCAGACTCGTCACCGTCAACATCAACTCGTCTTCCTCACCATCAACAGCAACTCCTCGTCAATCTTCACGTCAACGCAATGCCGAATCCAGCCCCGAAGGAGGACACTTGGGCGTTCAATCCGATCGGTTCACCATTTCCGGAAAATCCTGTCAAGGTGCTGGGCCAGCAGAACATGTACGTCGCGCTTTGGTACAAGAACGGAAAGCCAGTGCACGGCTACGCATGGAACGATGGTGGCGTTGTACAGGCTTCGTTCCCGTATGGCAAGGCGGAGCTCACTGGAAAGGAAGATCTGGGCGGCATGATTCAAGTGAGTTAATCTTTAAAATTTTTTTACACAAAAATACGTAATATTAAATTTTAAAGGTGCTACAGTACAAGGGTGACCACAACACGCTCGGCTACTGGTACGAGTGGATCAAATACAAGGACCGCTTCGAGAAAACCGACGAACGACAGCTTGTTCGATGTGGCGACTCGATGCCGATTCTCTGGGAGGGACGGACTGGTGGTACACTGCTCGGCTACTTGAACATGAAGACGGAGGAAGCCTTCTTCTCACAGGGAGGGAAGGCAGAATGCATTGTAGGGAAGCCGCTCTCGGAAATGAAGATCATAATGAGGTGAGCCCTTGATCTATTTAAAATTCTGACTTGTGACTTCCTTAAATTTTAATTTCACAGGAATCTGAAGGGAGGGCCGTTGGGCTGCGTGTGCAACATCTGCTTCAAAGCTCCTCCGCCGCCAGTGCCACCACCACTCATAATGCTGAATGAGTGGGCAGACATCAGGATGGGAGACGCTTGGCCAACCTACAAGACGATCAGAGCAGGCGACAAGACGTTGAATGCGGCACCTGGAGACTCTAGTGAGCAGCATGTAGCCCTGTGGTATGTGCATGGTGAGCCGGTAATGGGACGGATCTGGAACAACAATGGCAAGGTGACAGCACCATATTACATTTTAGCGTGTAACTGGTTAACTTTTTTCACAGGTCGCTGCAGCATTCGGCTGGAATGGGAAGGCCTTCGTCGACAACATCGGCTCCATTCAGGTTCTGGTCGACCTCCCAGAACGTGTCCGTGGCTACGACTATCATTGGCGCCCATGGAGTGATGCAGCTGTCTTTGACAAGAACGCCCGAGTCTTCTATCCTGTTCACGTCGATCAAGTGAAAGGTGTGTTTTATCATCTACGTTTGATAATCTAAAAATAAATTTTGAATCAATTTCAGGAAACATCTCGCCATGCCTGCTAACTCTTCCAAATGGCAAGGAGGCACTTGGCAAGGCTGACATTCGCAATGAGCGTGCATCGGCCGTGGTCGCAGGCAAGGACGAGCGATTCGAAGGGCCCGCTGTGCATAAGTTCCTCGTGCTCTGCCGCAAACCGAAGCCAGGACAGAAGTTCGACGAATAATATGGACCAAGCTGTAAAAACTCATAGGATAGTGATATTCCCACATTGTTGTCATATTTTCCCTAATGTTTTCCTTTGTATTGTTCCAAATTTGTATTTCCTGTAGATTCATTTTCTGTATAATTGTTTTGTTGAATGTAAATAAATATTATTTGATTTATGTGGTTTATTTTTTTCGATACAAGAATTCATTAGTTCTCAGACTTCCTAAGTTTTTTGTATTTGCTTTTGTTTTGAATAGTAGTGGTCTAAAATTTATTAAATTTATTCTTAGAGTAGTTATACTGTCGAAAACCCTAAATAAATTCACAATTTTCTCGAATACAATTAGATAACTGTTGGGAATTGGATTTATATGTATTTATAACATTCGGTTTACATAATTGAATTATGAAATTTATGTGATAATTTCGAAAATATATAAAATTTCGAATGAAATGGAATTTAAAAAACAAAATAAATATGGTTAAAAATGTGGACAAAATTTATGAATTTCGAAAAAATCAGAAAATTCTACCAAAAATAAGAAAAATCGTTTATTTTGAATAAAATATTTAAAAAATGGATGAAGTATTGAAATACAAAAAATTAAAATAAATAACGTTTATCTCCTTACCAATTCAGAAAAATATGGATTTCAGTGCTTTCACACATAACCTATTTATAAAAAATCTTGAATTCATTTTAATTTATTGGGTCAAACAAATTTATTGATATACAGGCAGTGGTCAAAAAGTTGGGGACAAAAATACAGGAAATAAAAATTCACTATTTTCTCAGTTAAAAATCAATTTTAGGAAATTTTTTTGTTTGATTGAATACCTTTTTATGGATTAATATTTTTTAATAATCAGCACAGACTAATTAATAAAGTTGTGCTAATCTAATCTAATCTACAAAAATTCAGACAAGCATATTGATCGATAAAAAACAACTAGGCCCATATCTAATTTCAGTGTCGAGTTATCGATACCCCGAAAATCAACATAAAATAGGGGTTTCTCACAAAATAATTTAGACCCCTTGTGGATTGTTTTGAAATTTTATTTTAGGCCTATTAAAAGTTCTTAAAATTTGTCAACTCTCATTTTCAGAAAAAATA